ATATATATATATTGGATTTATCATGTATTTCAATATTTTAGACCTAGTTATCCATATATTCCTCCCCTAATTTGTAGAAATTTACTATTAGCAGATATATCTACCCTATTTATCATGTATTTCAGTATTTTAGATGTACTTATCCATATACATATGAGGTCCTTTTTTAATAGTTTTCTAACTACAAGGACCACAAATGGAAAATTGTATACGTACGGAGTTTGACCAGGTCACAATATCGGTGCAAATAAGTCCGACCCACCCGACTTGTAAAAGGACCGAAAGTTTTCGTTTCATTTTCATCCCTCTTTTTGAATCAATCCCAAAACTGTCGAGAGCGAGAGAGCTAGGGTTTTCCTGAAGTGTACCGGAAAAGTTATCAGACATGGATGCATCAATGGAGAAGAGGGCGGAAGCCGATAAGAATACCAACATAAACTCTCAATCAGAGTACGATTCATCTGAAGATCGTGAACGGCAGTCGCGCGAGCTTAAAGCTGGTTTGCATCCTCTCAAGGTACGGTCAGTATACTTTCGTAGATATACGTGTGATTGTAGCTTTTAGGTTAATGTATCATCTAGAAACAGAGCTACAATTTGAATATCAAGTAGGTTATTTGCAATCAAGAGTTGTTCAGGTGCTAATGTTTTTCATTCACTTGATTTTCCGCGATGAATTTGGGGACAACACTTTCAGAACAGGGAAAAAATGCTAGCGGTAGATTAATCACCAGGTTTAACACGGAAAAAGTTAACGGAAGTGAGATGCTATTTCTTTAAGATTTCATTACTCAAAGTTGTAGTGAAATTGAACATGTTTATACTCAGTCAAGCAGTAATCTCATTTGAGAAGCTTAATTTGTTTAGTTTTGCAGGATTTCTCCCCCTTTCCATGCTTATTACCTAAGATTAGTTGTTGTATTAAAGATCCTAAGTTTGGATTGACTGCTAAACTGCCTAAACATGATTGATTTGTATCTTAGTCCATAAAGATTCTTTTCTAACTCTAAGCACCTTTTAGAACTAACGTCACACTTTTCTTGATATTTCTTTTGCTCCCATCAGAACAAGTTTGTATTTTGGTACACTCGGCGCACACCTGGAGTTCGTACTCAAACATCATACGAAGACAACATAAAGCAGATAATGGACTTCAGCACAGTAAACAAAACCTCATCCTTATACTTCATCTGTAAAATGACATTCATACCCCTAGACCATAGTCTTGTAACACAAAATTGTTCATTATGTTCAACAGGTTGAAGGCTTTTGGGTCTGTTATTGTCATTTATCTCGTCCATCTTCCTTGCCTAGCCCAACCGACTTGCATCTTTTCAAACACGGAATCCGTCCATTATGGGAGGTACTACAAATTTGAACTTTTTTTTTTTATATATATTTTTTCTTTTTAGGGTATTAAGGAATTATAACTTATAAGCATTTGGCTTTATAAATTTATTTGTATATTTTAGGATTCTGCTAATTGCAATGGTGGGAAATGGATCATACGTTTCAAAAAGGCTGTTTCAGGACGTTTCTGGGAGGATTTGGTAAGTGAAAAAAGTGCATGATCTTTATAATAAGTCAATAAGTCAATACCATAAGAAATATTGTATCCTAATTAAAAATATTATTAGGTTTTGGCATTGGTAGGTGATCAACTTGATTACAGTGATAATATATGTGGAATTGTGTTGAGTGTTCGATTCAATGAGGATATATTGAGCGTGTGGAACCGTAATGCATCTGATAATCAGGTAAAAATTACCAAAATGCCCTTGTTATATCATATATGTGTTATGTTTGGATATGTTGGTGAAAATGTTTTTATTTTTTGTTGTTGTGGGTAGGTGGTGATGGCTTTAAGAGATAAAATAAAACGACACTTGAAGCTTCCACATGGGTATGTTATGGAGTATAAGCCACATGATGCTTCACTGCGTGATAACTCATCGTATCGCAACACTTGGTTGAGAGGGTAGAGATGTAATTTTGGAGAAGAATGTTTGTTTGGGATGTAATTGATAATTTCAAGTTTAATTACATCATGATCATGTTATCAGTATTGACCCTTGAATTTATCTAATCAAGATTTGGTGGTATTTGGATTTGATTCTTATCTTTGATGATGAATCCATTTTGCATATGTTGGAATTTTCTTTTTAAACAAAAAAAGGTTTTGTCTTGACTCAAATTGTCAACCCTCTTGGAACAGAGAGGTTTGATTATATGTTAAATATTTGTAACCTGAAAAATTAGAATGAAAAAACCAATTAATTGAAGGTAGATGTGATTCTGTAAATTTACATTAATTTCACTAATTGGTTATATTTTACTGCTGTTTTTTTACTTGGATTTGATTATTAGGGCATGTTTGAAAAAACTAGCTGGTAGCAGAAAACTGTAGTTTTTATTTATTATATGAATGTTTGACAAAAATACATAGAAGTTTTAGGGAAAATGACACAAGTGCCCTACGAACTTTCTAGGGTATATCTGTTGAGTTCTTAAAGTTTTTGTTAGGCTTTATGGGACCCTAAACAAAGATATGATCTGCTCTTTTAGTCTCTGTCAACCTGTAATAGCTGGTTCAGTGACATTTTAGACCAAAAAAACTCACATTGTCCCCCTATAAAGCCAAAAAAATAAGTTCGGGATCAATTCGTACAAAAAAAAAAAAACTCTCCTTTTATTTTAAAACTGATTCACACTCAATTCGTACCCTCCCAAGAAATCGATTGCTGCTCTTATTTCCGTCTTCACCCTCCATCGTTACACACACTCAACGAAGATCATAACCCTCTTCCCCTTCTAATCGATTCTCGATCACAACCCACATCCACTATTTTCTTTGATTCGGTTTCAGCTCTTCAAGGAATTGACCCGCTCCTTACTTCTTCTTTGTTCAAAATTGCACAAGTTACTTCTCATTCTCACTTTGAGTTGCAGGTTTGATGGATGCGATGTTGAGAAGGATGCGTGGGTTTGATGAGGTTCACAGAGAAAACGAGAGTTAATCTCTTTTTTTCTTCGATTTGCAGGTGATTGGTTATGGTGGCTGATTGGTGGTTTTTGTGGGTTATGGGTGACAAAGGGGAGGAATAAGGGTGTTTGGATTGGGCTATTGTGATATTGATTCGATGGTGATTAAGGAAGGTGGGTTATGGTGGCTGTAATGGTTGAATAAAATGTTGATGAGCATTTGGTTCAGGAGGGTACGAATTGAGTGTGAATCGACTTTAGAAGAAAATGAGAGTTGTTTTTGGTACGAATTGATCCCCAAACTTATTTTTTTGGCTTTATAGGGACACAATGTGAGTTTTTTTGGTCTAAAAGGTCACTGAACCGGGTATTACAGGTTGACAGAGACTAAAATAGCAGATCATATCCTAGTTTAGGGAACTATAAAGTCCGACAAAAACTTTAGGGACTCAATGGGTAAACAATAGAAAGTTCGTTGGGTATTTGTGTCATTATATAAAATGACTATTATTTAAAATGTGTAAAATTATATAAAATGACTATTATTTAAAAAAGATAGATATACACAAATATTTTTAAGGGCAATTCTGAAAATTGTTTAAAAAAACTCAATAGTTTTTAAGGTTACACGAAATATCTTTTAAATTTTAGAGTTTTTTGTTTAAATTAAAAGTTAGACGTTCGTATTCTTTACTAAACTTTTTTGTTTAAATCGAAATTTTTATTAAAAACTAAAATTAGAAACTCCTTAAAGCTCGCTACCAAAAACGTCCTTAAACATTGGACTCAAGAAGATACTAATATTGTAAAGTATATAAAAGAAAAAAAAATTATAACGTTTAAACATCTCTCCTACTAATGCTAAATCAAGTATAAAAACTGATGTTAGTAATATAAGGTTTAGACTTTAGAAGAATATTAAAATTTCAACAAAATAAATGGTGATTTGTGGTGGTGCTGTTTGCCGCAAACTCTCCATCTCCTTGAGAAATATACCGGAAGCCTTATCAGTTATCACTAATGTTAGTAATAAACGGTTTGGAAGAATATTAACTTGTTCCCGAGTTTAACAAAAGAAAATAAGAGAAGAGAAAAGAAAGTCACGAGAGAAAAGAAGAGAAAGGAAAGGAAAACAAAATTTTCTTTTGTGTTCCCGAGTCGGAGAGAAGTGGAAGGAAAATGAATCATTATGTTCTTTCTTTCCAAATCCTCCCAAATCGGAAGGAAAGATAGGAGGGAAAGTTATCCTCCCATTTCCCTCCATTTCCTTTCACTTCTCTCCTTTAATGAAACTCGGAAACACCAATTTCTTTTATTTTCTTCTAATTTCCACTCATTTCCTTTCCTTTCTCTCGTTAAGTTAAACTCGGGAACGGGGTGTAAAGTTTGACAAAATAATTGCTTTTTTTTTTTTTTTTTTTTTTTGGCAATAGATCGGTCTTCAACAAATTGTAAGAAACATTTAAAAAATCGAAGAAGCTGATTTATATATGAAAGTATTTGTATTAAGAATTGATTACTTAAAGGAACAATTATTTTGTCGAACAAATTTCAAGAAGACAACATATATTAGCTCAACGTCTAACAAAATTAACTGATGATCATCACATGTTGCTCCAAAGGAAACCCGCCAAAATTCCATCTTTATCAGACATTATCAATGTCTCCTCCGGTGCTCTCACTCCTTCCATCAACAAAGCTTCTTCATTGTTCAACACCGGAGACAAGACGATTCCACCACCCGAACTGGGTAATTCTCTAGATGACGCTACTTACACGAAACTGATTCTATCATCCACGCAATCAGGCTGTTCAGCTCACGGGAAACTCGTTCAATCTCATATGGTGAAAACAGGTTTCAATCCTACCTTATTTCTACACAACACACTTCTTAACATGTACTTCAAATGTAACGAATCAGACTTAGCTCTCCAACTGTTCGATGAAATGCCTGAACGAAATGTCGTTTCTTGGAATTCATTGATTTCCGGATACACTCAATTAGGTCAGTACATTTTCGCAAAAGAAGCCTTTATCAAAGCTAGAACCACAGACGTTAACCTCAGTAAGCACACATTAGCAAGTCTGCTAAGCATCTGTGCTCAAACTGGTGATTTGGAACTAGGAAAAGTCATACATAGCTTGATTATAGTAACTGGTGTAGGCATAGATGCGTTTTTAACCAATCCACTTATTGCTATGTATTCTAAATGTGGGAGAATAGATCAAGCCCGTATCACATTCAACAAATGTAACCAATTAGATGACGTTTCTTGGAACTCAATGATTTCTGGTTATGCTAAATCCAATTTACACAACGAAATGCTACAAATTTTGGTCAAAATGCATCAATGTGAAGTAAGATTTAGTAGCTATGTATTGGGTAGTGTTCTTAAAGCATGTTGTTCGAATTTCAATCATTCTTTAATATGGGGGAAGTTGTTACACTCATGTTCCATAAAACTCGGTTGGGATCTTGATGTTGTGGTGGGGACCGCATTACTCGACATGTATTCTAAAATTGGAGAATTAAACGATGCAATTTCAATCTTTAATCTTCTTCCCAACAAGAATGTTGTCATGTGTAACGCAATGATTTCTGGGATGCTCAAATTCGGGAACAAATCATTGAATCTTTTTCTTGAAATGCAAAGGAATGGATTTAGGCCTTCTGAATTTACATTTTCTACCATGATCAAAGCTTGTATCATATCTGAAGATTTTGAATTCGGGAAACAAATCCATGCACTTATTTGCAAGAACAATTTTGAGAAAGATAAATACATAGGGAGTGTTCTCGTTGAGTTCTACTCCAAATGGAGCTCTATGGAGGACGCGTTACTCTGTTTTAAATCAACAAATAAGCAAGATATAGTGACATGGACATCAATGATTGTGGGTCATGCTCAAAATGGTGAATTTGAAAAGTCATTGATTCTTTTTTGCAAATTGCTTAGTTTTGGATTGAAACCAGATGAGTACACGATTTCAAATGTGTTGAGTTGTTGTGGGAATTTGGGTAGTGTGAGATGTGGTGAGGGGATTCAATGTTATTTGGTGAAAGGTGGAATTGGTGATTCCGGAGTTGTGTTGAATGCTTTGATACATATGTATGGAGAGTCGGGTGATATAGAGAGTGCAAATCGGGTGTTTGAGGTGGCTGATAAATGTGATGTGGTGGCATGGAGTAGTATGATTTGTAGTAGTGCACATCATGGATCTGCTAAAGAGACTTTGAGGGTTTTTGAGATGATGATAGAAAGTGGGATTGTGCCTAATGATGTGGCGTTTCTTGGAGTTCTTACTGCGTGTAGTCATGGAGGACTTGTTGAGGAAGGACTCAGGTAAATATTTTTTTTGATATGACAGGACATGACATAACAGAACAAAACAGGTTGTACAGTATTTGGGTGAGACAAAATATTGCAATTTTTGTCTCATTAGATCTTATAACAGGAGCTTATTGAAAGCTTTTGTTTGTTTTGAAAAAGCAATGAAAAAAATTAGTTGACTAATAATGTGAAAGTTTTTTCAAAATAATTTGTGTAATTAACAAGTTGTTTTCTTCAAATTATTAACTTTGTTTTACATTTTAATTACTTTTATATTATTATTTACTCAAATAAGTAGTGATAACATGGTTTAAAATGTATAGGTAGAAACAAAAAAGTTATATGGTTATATTAATATAATAATTTAATTTGAAATATATTGATTTGTATAAAAAAATTATAAAAGTTTAACTCTTTGTGTGTCAATTTTGTTTCAAATATATCCATAATCTTTTTGTTATATAAATTTAAGTACAATTTTTCAAAACATTTTTTTTGTTATAGTTAGATACCAAAACATCTTTTTGCAATAGAAAAATATGTAGTACTATTTACTTACGTAAATTTCATTTTTTTTGTCATGTCCTGTCCTGTCCTGTCCTGCCTAAAAAAAGCGAAAAAGTAACGGGTGTTTTTGTGTAATGTAAAGTTGAAAAAGCTAATATATTTTAACAATTTGTTAGATATTATGAAACTATGAAGGGCGAATACGGTATTTCACCAACGGAAAAGCACTGCGCGTGTATGGTAGACCTATTAGGGCGTGCCGGAAGGCTATCCGAAGCCAAAACTTTCATCATGAATTCAAATTTCAAAAATACACCGGTGATGTGGCGGGCCCTACTAAGTTCTTGTAGGATTCACAAAAACACGGAGGTTGGAAAACAAGTAGCGGAAACATTAATCGAGTTGGAGCCGGAATCATCTTCTTCTTATGTCCTTCTTTACAACATCTACACTGACGCCGGAATGGAATCGGCAGCTATAAAAATAAGAGACTTGATGAGTACCCGAAGGATTAAAAAGGAACCGGGTTTGAGTTGGATTGAGGTAGGGAATCGAGTGAGTTCATTTTTGGTTGGTGATAAATCGCATCCACAAAGTGAAAGTATATATGTGAAGTTAAATGATGTGTTTGAGAAAATTAAGAAAGTTGGTTATCGAAATGAGAAAAAGGGGAATGGTTTTATGGTGAATCCGCATAGTGAAAAGCTTGCGGTGTGTTTTGGTTTGATTAGTTTGGGTCGAGGTGCTCCTTTGAGGGTGATGAAGAATTTGAGAGTTTGTGAAGATTGTCATGTTGTAATGAAGTTGATATCGAAAGTTGAAAAGAGAGAAATAGTTTTGAGAGATCCGATTCGGTTTCATCGGTTTAGAGATGGGATTTGTTCTTGTGGGGATTATTGGTGAAAGATTTAGTAATTCATTATTGAAGGGTTTATATTAGTGCAAATATGTGTATCTAGGTTAAACTAAGATTATAATTGTTTTATCACTACAAAAATGAATATGGGAAGAATGTTCATATACATAACCAAAGAATTGTATAATTCTTGAAGAACTAGTATGTAGGATTGACTTAAGGTGGGTAATGGTGCATCAAAAATATGTTTCGTCTAAATAGGGCTTGAAATCATCATCAAGTCCTAACAAGAATTGTATTTACTTGTTATTGCATGATTGAGATGAAAGATGAATAAGTAGGCAAAAGACAACGATGACATGTATTTATCGAAACAAGTTGTTAATTCAATGTAATCAAAACATGTATTTAGGATAAAATTATACGAATGGTCATTATAGGTTAGGATCATCTGTGTAATCTGTTTCCTTTTTTTTTTTTTTTTTTTTTTTAATTCGTAAAGTCCCTATTATATACTTTTGTTGCGACTTCGGTCCTGACATATATAAAAAGATTATATTGTCCTTATTAAATGCTTTTTTTTTGTAATTTTTATTATATATTTTTTTTTATTGTGTCCCACTATTCTAAACCCCAATCCTTTTATTGTTCATAGATCCGTTCGTCGTCCTTGGCAATGATATGTGGCAGACGGTTCACTTCCAACAATCACTACATATACAAAACTCAAAATCACATCAATTCAAAGCTCAAATCAAACCACTATTAACCTCCTATATGAAATTCAAACCTCAAAATCAAAAATTAAAACAAAATTTGGTAAAGGATATAAACAAAATCAGTTTCTTATTTCTTAGCTACAAAAATAAAAAAACAACTATCATTGGAATTTTGGAAAAACCCACAAATCACAATCACCAATCCCAAACCCTTTGTCATCCTCTTCTAGTCTTCTTCATTCCCCCTTTTACCCTTCATAGCTCCCAACATAATCTTTCATTTTCTTCCTAGATTCATATTTTGATTAAAAAAACCGACATGGTGTTGTTTTTTGTGGCCGAGTAGCAATCGTGCAAACTTCTTGGACTTCAAGCAAACATATTACTAGGTTGGACCATTTTACCCATTTACCCATTTTGGAATTTGGGTCCAGAATTGGCCTTCTGGACCAAATGGTCACTTTTTAAAAAAAATTATAAACCTGATTTTTTTTTTTAAACTCACAAAATTTGGTTAGGTTACTTAATTTCCCAAAATTTAATGATAAATATTGACAACAAATCATGTCAACTAAAAAGTCTCTTTTTGGATTGATATTAATGATATGTAACATAAAAAATGTTACATATTACTATCAAATATGTGTGTATGCGGTCCAATATCAACCTCTGTTTAGGTTAGTTAAAACACATACACATAATCCATAATATTTAAATATTTAAATTCTTTATAAATTTAACTCTCGCTTGATAATATTACGAATTTTCACATAATGTCCCATGTCATTATCAGAAATAACTACATTCTAAATAAACAAAATATAAATTTGTCATAAAAATAATATACCCATTTACATGTATGCATATCCATTTGACTAACTGAGATCTCATAAATTACTATTACTTAATTTTGAAATCACAACCATATTAAAATCCAAAATGAACAAAAGTAATTGTGTGAATTTGATCTCAAACCAAAAAAATTCGATTTAGTCTCTAAATTCCTTGTTTTTTCTTTTTCTTTCTAAGAAAAAAAAAAGAATAAAATGTTATACATAACAAGCGGAACCATTATTTGATTGATTGGAACTATAACTTCCAAATCTTGTCTAACCCGTATTTTTTATTTATTATTTTTTTAAATATTTAACAAGCTAGCATTTAGAAGGCCAAAACAAAAATAAATAAACAAAGATTCTTGGAGGTACACAAACACAAACCTATCTTCACATGGCTTCCTTTTCCTTTTAATATACATTTTTTCCTTTTAAAATACATGTAAAGTCAAATTCAGGAAAAAACGACCTCAAGGTTTCTTTTTTCAAGAATAAATAAAAATGTGTCACATTAAAACATGATGGACAATGCATATGTAACTTTATTTATAATACACAAATAAATACATAAAAATTGTTTTATGTAAAGAAATGCAAAAATAGCTCCCCCAGCTATAACCAAATAAAACCAGACCATAGTTACACGGAAACGGGATTGTTCCGGTACGTGGAACGAAAACGGGACCGAGGATCGGTAATCTATAAAATTCGGTACGAGGGGGGGGGGTAGTCTTCTCTGGAACGCTATTTCGGTACGTGGAACGGTGTACCATGTAATGTAGTACGATGTAGGATCGATAATCTATAGAAAGTGTTGAGGAACTTCAACACTTTCTGCATCGCGTAGAACTCCATCTTCATTATCAGAGCAGTCAAGGTAACATCAACTCTCTCTAGAACGATATCAATTTTACCAAATGTCATCTTTCCAAAAAAGAAACTAAGAAGAATAAAGAACTTAAAGAATGGATGAGTAGAGGACCGAATGTTTGAAGATGTAGAACAGGATCGTGAATATGAAATAGGGTGATAGAAATTAATGGGTCGACGGGATTATTCTCACCTGCCGATGCTTTTTTTTTTGTTTAATATGCAATTTTTTCATCGTGCTCCAGAAATTGATGGGTCGTCGTTCCAGAAATTGATGGGTCGACGAATTTAGTAGATTGAAATCGCGTTCCATCTTGTAACAGGATCGACATTTCAAGCAATTCGGGGTCAGTGGATTTAGCGATTGGGTCGCGATCCAGGAGGCGATTGGATCGCAATTGGTCCCGTTTCTGGATCGTCCGATCCGAAACGGAAAACGTAGGGGGGGAAGCGATCCTAGTAATTATGAACCAGACATCCAGTCAAAATCTAAATTGATCTAGTTTCTGTCATTCCATGTTCCATCTGTGTTTCATCATATAAATTTAGAAACTTCAAATTCTTACCACACATATATTGTGGAGTAACCTGAAGTACTCTCATTATTTCCAAATATAACAAGAGATAACCCACCACACAAATCCTCAATTAAACTTCGTATAAATACCATCTCCATTTCATCATCAAAACATAAATCAAATTAACAATAATCAATCCTCTCTTTCTTTTCCATCTCTCTTGCGAAACGATATCACACAACATATCGTTTCTTAGAGAGAACACGAAAGAAAGAGAGGAAAAGACAAAAAAAAAAAGAAAAAAAAAGAAATATGAGAGAAATCGTGAGCATACATGTCGGACAAGCAGGAATTCAAGTCGGGAATTCATGTTGGGAGCTTTATTGCCTCGAACATGGCATTCAATCTAATGGTTATATGCCTACGTAAGTATATTCTATTCTAATTTCTAAACTTCTATTTTCTTTTGGAAATGTAAAATTTATCTTAAATTCTTAATAAAATTGTAATATGGGATCTAGAAATGTTACCTCATCAAGCGAAGAGGGCAACTCCTTTGGCACCTTCTTCAGTGAAGGGATCACCGGGAAGTATGTCCCAAGAGCGGTATTTGTCGATCTTGAACCAACAGTCGTTGATGAAGTAAGAAACGGAAGCTACAAGAAGCTATTCAATCCCAAAAATCTCATATCCTGTAAGGAGGATGCCGCCAATAACTTCGCCAGAGGACATTACACCGGTAATTTGACTTTTTACATCACTTTTCATCTTCTCGATTGATCATTGATATGAAAATAATCATATAATGTATTTACAGTCGGGAAAGAAGTAGTGGATCAGTGTGTAGATCGGGTGAGAATCTTAGCAGACAATTGCAGTAATTTGCAAGGGTTTATGATCTTCAACTCTGTGGGTGGTGGAACTGGCTCTGGTTTGGGGTCATTGCTCTTACAACGTTTGTCTAACGAATATGGAAAAACTCAGAAAATTGGGTTCACAATCTATCCATCTCCCAAGGTAACGAATTTCAAATTAACTTGCCCTAAACTAATTTTCGTGTTCTGACTTCTGATTTTTGATGTGAAATTGCAGGTTTCGACTTCAGTTGTGGAGCCTTACAATGCTGTGTTATCGACTCATTCATTGATTGAGCATACAGACATTGTCGTGCAATTAGACAACGAGGCGATATATGGGATCTGTAAGAGAGGGTTGGATATGGAAAAGCCAACTTACAGGAACTTGAATCGATTGATATCTCAAACGATTTCATCTTTAACAACTTCCTTGAGGTTTCCTGGATCGATGAACGTTGACATTTCCGAATTCCAAACGAATTTAGTCCCATTCCCACGGATTCACTTCATGCTTTCATCATACGCACCAGTCATTTCATCAGTGAAAGCCTACCACGAGCTGATTTCAGTTCCTGAAATCACAAACGCCGTATTTGACCCGTCGAACATGATGGCGAAGTGCGATCCACGGCGAGGGAAATACATGGCTTGTTGCTTAATGTACCGCGGAGACATTGCACCGAAAGACGTTAACACGGCGGTCGGAGCTATCAAAACCAAAAAAACGATTCGATTCGTCGATTGGTGAGTTAATCGCGTTGCATTTTAACTAGATCTGGAGAACGATGGATTGTTGAACATGTTGATTTACCTCTAAAATTTTCAGGTGTCCGACGGGATTCAAGTGCGGGATCAACAACCAGGCTCCGTCGGTGGTGCCTGGCGGAGATCTGGCGAAGGTGAAACGAGCAGTGAGTATGATCAGCAACAACACGGCGGTGTCAGAGGTTTTCAGTATGATCAATCATAAATTCGATGTTATGTTCGCGAAACGAGCGTTCGTGCATTGGTATGTCGGCGAAGGGATGGAAGAAGGCGAGTTCTCGGAGGCGCGTGAAGATCTTGCAGCTCTAGAGAAAGATTACGAGGAAGTGTTGCAAGATGGCATGGAAGAAGATGAGGACCAAGGATACGAGTACTAATTTCCATGGCGGAAAATCTCATGTAAATGACTAATATGTCCTTGCATATGAACGTCAACAATATATACCTGCTCAAAGATGACATTATGTAACCTCTATATTTCTTTATATTAATTTGGATTTATAATTGTTTTTGATTCCCTTTATAATAATAATAATAATAATAATAATAATAATAATAATAATAATAATTAAGATATAGTATATAATAACTATATATAAGACTGATGACGTGCCTAAGACGGCACGACAGAATCGCGCTCAACCGAAGCGTCGAGCATTCCAGTCGGGCTAAGCCCAGCAGGCTCAGCGCCCGGCAGCGCCTCTGGGGACAGAATGCTCAGGCGAGGGGCTCGCGCTCGCCAAAGAACACTCCCAGATCCAAGACAAAAGAGACAGTCAGGGGACAAACAGTGGAGTTAGGCCATTACCGCCAGAGCCAATAAGAGCGCTCTAACGATTGAGGACGCACGACCTTCCAATCAGCGCCTCTGATCTTGTCTCCCCAAAAAGCGATCTTGTCCAGTACGGACTGGGCAAGCGCGCTAGGTATATAAGGATGCACCCTCGGGCTCACAAGGTAAGCTCTTCTCTCTAACAGAAGACACAAAAAACCCTAGATACCTTCTAACTTGACCGTCGGAGCATTCTTCCGGGAGCACCCTCCCGGGAAACGGCTGACGGCCTCTCTTTCTTGTGATCTTGCAGAGGCAACGAGGAACCTGATTCACCAGCTCAAATCCGGTTGAAGCTCAGGTCGGATCATTTGGCGCCATCCGTTTGTGAGACGAAGAACACAAACTAAAAGCAAAAGGCTGAAGAATCAATGGCGTCCGACATCAGCGATGGACACGATGGCTATCAGGCTAGTCCCATACGCTCCATGGCAACGTTGGATGAAACACCGTCGCCCACGGCGGTCAACAGAGCAACCCTAGGTGAGGGAAGCTCTACGATAACCACCAACACCACCTCGCAACCGGCAACTCACCAACCAATAACAACTCCGATGGGGCCACTCTTAACCACATCCCTTCAGATGCCGCCATTCTTTGTACCACCAACGCAGCAACCACCATCGATCCACCCAACGATGCTACCACCAGGCCAAGTTCTCAACATTCAGCCGCCGTTTTCAGTACCACCGTTCAATCAAGTGACGGGTGGACGGGGCCCAATGCTTTCCCTACCCCCACTGGCGCAGACTATGGTAGCTCATACACCACCTATCTACTCGATGGCGGGCACGTGGACCGGACCGACCATTGCCTCCAACCATAACCTCCAGCAGGCCTCGACAATCAGCCCTTTAACACCAATACACCCTTTCTCCTCCGGCTATCCTCTCCAGTTGCCATTCCAACAACCTCCCTTTTACGGACCAAGTCCAGGCTATCATGCATCGTCGTCATGCGGTTTAAGCCTCCAACACCAGTCGCAAGGCACATCAACCGTTCCAACCCAAGACTGCCTTTCTCGCAGCGTTACATCCCCGTTTGTCAAAGAGTTGCTAGACTACGAAATACCAAACACGGCCAAACTGCCAACGCTCAAAACCTATAATGGTATTACCGACCCAGATAGCCACATCAATACGTATGAGTGGACAATGACGTCTCTGAAGCTTGATGAGAGGTTCTGGTGCACATATTTCCCGACGACTCTCGATGGCAACGCATGCACATGGTTTAAGACGTTGCGTCCAGGCAGCATCTCCAATTTCGCTCAACTTAAATACTTATTCCTTACCAACTTCATGCAGCTACGAAAGTACGAAGGAGATTCTCATTCCATAATAGGCTGTAAGCAAAAGGAGGGTGAAACCGTGCGATAATATTTCACCAGGTTCATAAACGCCACATTATACGTGTCGGGACACGACGAGGGACTCATAGCTGGCGCTTTCACGTGGGGACTTTTACCAGGCCCCTTGTCACAAAAGCTTATGGGTAAGAAACCCTAAACGAGGGCCGAGTTAAAGGAGAGGGTAGAACGATATCTGAGGCAGGAAGAAGGCGAGGCAGCAAAACAGGCATACCTAAATGCTATGATGACCAAACACCACAACCCACGTCACACGGACTTTCGAGGGGGAAGTAGGCACTTTGGCCAGATAAGGAGGCCTCAGGCGAGGTTTCGGCCATTCGATAGAGACGACAGACGGAGTCGTCGACCGGAGGTGTACACGGTATCAGAGAAACAACAGCCAGCCAAGTCACCCAAGAGCCGGTATTGCGAGTACCACAAAAGCAAGACACACGATACTGCCAGTTGCTCGGTTCTCAAGAAGGAAATGGAAGAAAAACAGCTCAAAGGAAACTTGGTGGAAATAGCGCGGAGCCTGCGCGCCAAATTTGACGCCGAAAACGCCAAGAACACGCCTCGAGAAGGAGTTCAACCCAAGGAAATATTCATGATACGTAACAAAAGAAGTAGGGAGGCACAGTCGCCAAACCAATGGATCCCCGGGCCCCCGGCACGAATGCTCACGTTCTCTGCGCAAGACCCCCGTCCTGAGGGATGGAGAGGTGATAACCCATTGGTAATCCAGGCCTCCATCAAGGATGTGACCATACACAGAGTCTAAATCGACACAGGGAGTTCGGCAGACATAATCTATGAGCACTGTTTTCGGCTTCTCCCAGATCGTTGGAAAGACAACCTGAGACCCACGACGGGGAGGCTGGTCGGATTCACCGGCCACAGCCTGTGGCCGCTGGGCACGATTCACCTCCCCCTGACAATCACTAGCCACGATAAACAACGAAAGAGGACGGTCCTAATCGACTTCGTGGTCATTCGACATTCGGCAGAGCACAACATCATCTTGGGTAGAACGGCCCTCCTAAAGCTAGGAGCGGTCCCGTCGACCATGCATGGAATCTTGAAATTCGACACTTCGGCAGGCCCAGCCACAATACTTTCCACCTCTCCCAGGGAATTGCAGTGCTTTACGGTCATGAAGCCAGCAGAGATGACTAAAGAAACAAAGAAGCCGCGACAAGACCCGAAAAAAGGAAAGGAAATAATCAACGAAGGATACCCTGATCAACCGATCAGCATTGGTCACGACCTCCTAGGTCACGTAAGGGAAGCAGTAGTCGACCTACTCAAACGATACAAGCACATATTTGCATGGACCCCCACAGACATGGTGGGGGTAGATAGGAAGGTCATTGAGCACAAACTGGCGATCAAACCAGGGATAAAGGAAGTGAAGCAGAAGAAAAGGGTCCAGGGAGGGGATCACAACATGGCAATTAACGCAGAGGTGGCTAAGCTGGCGGAGGCCGGAATAGTAAGGGAAGCAGTTTTCCCAACCTGGATCGCTAATTTGGTTATGGTGCGCAAGCAAGACGGGTCATGGCATATGTGCATTGACTTCTCAGACTTGAACAAAGCGTGTCCCAAGGACTGCTATCCCCTCCCGGAGATCGACCAGAAAGTGGAATCGCTGCAAGGGTTTAAGCTAAAGTGTTTCCTGGATACGTATAAGGGATATCATCAGATTCTGATGAGCGAGCAGGACGAAGAAAAAACGGCTTTCTACACACCTTTTGTTACACCAAGATGCCTTTCGGTTTGAAAAACGCGGGAGCCACATACCAGCGCCTGGTCGACTCGGTCTTCGCCAAGCAAATTGGGAGGAATATCGAGGTGTATGCGACGATATGGTGATTAAGAGCTCCCATGAAAACAAAATGTTGCAAGACATCGAGGAGACTTTTCATACGCTAGAAAGGGTCAAAATGAAATTGAATTTGGCTAAGTGCACATTCGGGGTAGAAGAAGGACAGTTCTTGGGATACTATGTTACCAAACAGGGCATCCAGCCTAGCCCAGTTAAAGTGGACGGGTTTATGGAGACACCACCCCCAGGCACCCTCAGAGACGCACAGGGTTTGAATGGGAAGCTCACGACTTTGAGTAGATTAATCTCGAAATCCGCTGACAAGGCCATGTCACTATTCCATACACTGAAAGGCTGTATTGAAAAGAACAACTTTCAATGCACAGCCGCGGCGGAAGAAGCGTTCCAGAAGATTAAGGAAGCACTACACAAGCTACCCACACTGGCCAGCCCCATCCCAGAGGAAACACTGCAAATGTACCTCTCGACCTCAAACGAAGCGATATCCTCGATGTTCGCCGTAGAAAGGGAAGGAGAGCAGAAGCCGGTATACTTCGTGAGTAGGGCATTGCAGGGTCCTGAGCTCAATTACCCCACCCTGGAAAAGCTAGTCCTGATGCTCATTTACGCGGCGCGACGTTTGAGGTGCTACTTTCAAGCGCACCAAATAGAGGTACTAATAAATTGCCCCATCAAACAGATATTGCTCAAGCCAGAAACATCGGGCCGGTTAGCAAAATAGGCAATTGAGCTAGGGGAGCATGATATAAGCTGTCGTCCAAGGACAGGCATTAAGGGGCAAGCACTGGCTGATTTCTTGCTCGAAATTCCAGACGAAGGAAGCTCAGCCAAGGAAAGAATCTGGGCGGTAGAGGAGGTCCCAGCCAACGACTGCTCATGGACGCTATATACCGATGGGGCGTCCAGCAGGGAAGGCTCAGGGGCAGGCTTAATCTTGACTAGCCCAGAGGGAGAGGAATTGACCTATGATTTTCGGTTCGACTTCCACACCTCAAATAACGAGGCGGAGTATGAAGCCTTTCTCGCAAGGTTGCGCTTAGCCAAACAAATGGGTGCGAAGGCTGTGACAGCCCTAACAGATTCGAGATTAGTCGCGAACCAAATTAACGGAAGTTTTGAAGCAAAAGATCAGAGAATGGAGAGGTATGTGAGAATGGTGAGACAGCTGATCCAGTCCTTCAGACAGTTCACGATTAAGCAAATACCTCGGAGCAAGAATAAAAGGGCAGACGCTTTAAGCAAGTTGGCATCTACATGTTTCGATCATTTATCGAAGAAGGTTTTGGTAGAAGTGCTCAGGGAAAGAAGTATAGATGAGCGGCAGATAAATACCTTGACAACCACCGGGCCCACATGGATGACACCATTTATGGAGTATTTGCAAAGGGG